GTAATCAAGATTAAGAAAGTTTGTTGTAGCTAAAGTAATACATGGCCCTCTCATGATAGTATTAATCCTAGGGGGACAAATATTCTCACACTCTGTCCTAAATTTATAAATCTTTACATAAGTGTGAATTACATAGCAAAGATTGTGAAGTGCATTCTGAATAGTTACTCCTGTTATTAGAAATGGCACTCATTGGGTGATGGGTGTTTCTTTGAGAATTGTTGAAAGGAACTGTTATTTGAATGGGTCTCACCTATTGGCAGCTCCAATCATTTTGAGAGGTCTCTGGCGCTTGCCCTTTTATTAGATACTGATGTGGGTTGGACAAGGCGCTTCATGGGTAGAGCTAGCACTAGAAATAACAGTATCCCTTCTGTGAAACTCATATCAAATATTATCTGCATTGCGTGATTAGATATGGTGGGTGCAGCCTTAGCAGGCCACAGAGGAAGACAATGCAGCCACTCCTGATGAGACCTCATAGACTAGGATCATATGGAAGGGGAGGTCCTTCCATCAGTGGACTGGGGGAGGGGCAAGGGGGAGAAGAGGGAGGGAGGGAGGATTGGAAGGGGAAGAGGAAGGGAGCTACAGGTAGGATACAAAGTGAATAAACTGTAATTAATAAAATTAAAATTTTTAGATATGGTGTGGAGGAAGTAGGAAGAATAGTGTGATTACTGCCTAGTGCAACTGTGGGTTTGCTTGCCTGGAAACAGGACATCAGGACCCCTCCTAAGCTGTGTACACAGAGGGGTGGGGTGATAGCTGGGGACTTTTCTTCCAAAGAGTTGGCCACACTTAGTGCCTGGTAGGTATCACATATATTCTAATATAATGCATCAATGTATATAATATAAAAATCTGTGTTTATCTTTCAAAAGTTTTGCTTGTTTGAAACATGGAAGTAGGAAAGATTCAGGAGGTCAACGATGAAATTGCATTTCCACCGTTAGCTCACAAAATGTGTGGGTATTTTAGACAAGTAATCAGCTGCCCATTTTAATAGAAAATTATAGTACAGCAGTCAAAGGGTTATCCCATCTAGATTTAGAACTTGATTTTGACACTTATCTGTATGGATTTTAGAAGGCTTTCTCATTTGTAAGTAAAGAACACAATGAATCTTATTCTATAAGTGTACTGTGAGGTTTAACTAAGTTACTGGATCATATAAATTTTAATTTTAATTTAATTAACTAACACGCGTATGTCTTTAAATTTGAACTCCAAATAATTATTTAATTAAAATTCTCCAGCATCCTGAGAATTGAACCCAGGTTCTTGTACATGATAGACAAGTGCTCTGACTCTAACCCATTAATGTCTTCTCAAAAATAAATATTCATAAGGCATCATTTTGATGACTTCCTGTTTGATATTTTAGGGAAGATACACTTAAATCTTTTCTGGGCTGCTAAGGAGTAACTACCTGTAGCATTTCTTGATGTGATTATCTAAGTCTTTATCAATCAGTACATCAGTGAGATAGACTGCCAAGGAAGCAGAATTCAGTGACAGCTTGTAAGCTTTTATTACCGGCAACAGTGTTTGGCTGAGGAGAGTTTCCTTAAGTAAACTGGCAAAGGACTGAGCTTTCTTGAGGCAAGTTTTCTGTTCACCTGTTTTGTTGGCCCTATGAGCTAAGCAGTATTCATTTGTATGTAATAGTTTTAGACTGTAGAACATGAGTTCACAATTTGTTTGAAAGGTGTGGATCTTGGGGAAAACAATTCGGTGAAATAAAAAATTGCTATACTTAAAGGAACCCTTTTAACTTGTTGACATTTACTGGGTTGAAGTTATCTTTATGGCATCTGTGTAGAAAACTATGTATATAGGGTTCTTGCTAAATCAAGTGCTCTTGAAATTTCAGCAAATTATGTGTCGGCAAATGGATAGAAGTTAAAAATAACTTTTCCCTATTAACTTCTGAGAGTTTTAAGAAACACTTTGCCAGGATCCACTATTAGTATGTTAGTTTGATCAACATTAGTACATGTGTTTGGAAGTAAACGAAAGCATTTCCTGAAAATACTGTTGTTTTTAGGTTAGACATTCACAAATTTAGGTTGGAATGCCTTCAAATACTATTCGTGGTTTGAACAAACTCTTCTCTGTCTGTTTCTTGCTGGAGCAAAGCACAATGTGAGAGTCTAAATTTCCTGCTCCCTCTCATGTGGTTTGGGAAAATCATTCTGTTTCATGGTGGCAGGCATGGAGGTGGTGAACTTGGAGCTATTTCCAACAATGTCAATTATTAAAACCACAGGTAAAAGCCACCAGATGACAATCCCTTGGATTCACCACAGAGTTCATTCAAGCCATACTTTCAAGCTTCTCCTAATCTTTGACCAGGCATAATAAATATCTAAAGCCTGATGTTGTCCTGACTGCACTGCTACACATGGTATTTTTGTCAGAATTCCATTGTAGGCATGGAATCCCACTGACCAGATCACACACACACACACACACACACACACACACACACACACACACATACACACAGCTCACTTCATAGAAAAGGAAGTACAGAATTGGGCCAGGGGCACAGTATTTAAGTACACACATTGTGATGTTTAGGTGAAGCTAGCTAACAGAAGTCACGTGTAAACCAGTAGTTCAGAAAAAATCTGCAAGTGTGGGTTGGTCATGCCTCAGTATATTGGCAAATGTGATAAATCAGAGATCTCTATACATGATGCTCATTAGTAGGAAACCATGGATCTGGAAACCAAAGGTTGAAAGTTAACACTGGCCAAGAACCTACTGGAGCACTTTACTTCTTTGCCCTCACAAGTTTAATCAAAATATGTCTAGGTCTTGGTCTTCAAAGAGGGCTGAATAAGGACTAATTGAACCTCAAAATACACAGTCACTTTAAGTACTTTGCACACAAGGACCTTGTAGCTGGAGTACCTGATTATGAGGATTGTGGCTTCTCAATATCCTGGGGATAAATTCAGCCACATATGGAACCCAGGTGATCCACCTTGGTGCCTTTGTCCAACTGTCCCTGTGAAACAATGCATGCAGCAGACCAAGACTGACAATAGACTACTGCACAATGGCTGAGACCCTCTGGGAAGGGCAAGTAAAGAAAGATATGCTTAAGTGATTGCTGATGTTGAGGAGAATATGGAGTGAATAGAGACTGAAACATGTACTGAGGACTGAGACAGACTGCAAGGACAAGGGCTGCCATTTCTCAGAGCTTAGTCTTAGAAAGAAAGGCTTACAGACACCATGGAGCAGCTATGTCACCACCATTCCTATGAACTGTTTCAGGTTCTCTGACAGCTGTATTTTTAGATCTGTTACCAAGACTGCACCAGATCTAACTTTTCCTGCACTGTTCCCAGATAGCATGAGTACAAATGAGATACTAGAACTAAGCCATTGTACCTCAATTTGTAGTTCTTGTAATGGACAACTTTTGCTCAGAATAAAAAGCCAATACATTTGACACTGGCATATTAGGTCAACCAGGAAATTTCATTAGTTGACAGAACTTTGGTTGAAAGCTTTGAGAAATTTTTCCCCAAGGGGTAAAATTAACAACACAAAGGATAATATAAGGTAGGAAGAAGTTAAAACCTCTAAAAACTGGTTGACCTTGGTTCAATAGTCTCAACATATTATCCCTTTATAGGTAAACCTCAGTGTGTGTGTATATATACCTATATATACATAATGTTATATAAGGATATCACAAGAGGCTAAACAAACAGAAACAACACATAATCCTTAATATGTAGCTTTAGAGAGAACAAATTATTTTCTTACTCTTCTTGAAATCTAGCAAAGAAAAAAATTTAAATAATAGGAAACACTTAATGAGTCTTTGAGGCACTTTACATTTATTTCATCAAAACACTTAACATGTTAATTACTGATAATTCACACAACCTTTTAAAAATAATGGTAAGCAGCCAAACTAACCTTCCTGGCATTGCAATTATCTTTAGTGGCTTTTGCTGACCCTAGATAAGTGGACATCGCCCTCACTATCCAATTTGTCTTCCTTCCTCACTCATATAACCTCTCGACAGGTAAAGCTGACCTTTTGATACCTTTGAAGATGTATCTGCTTCTCCTGTCCTTACCTTTCAAGATCTATCCTATTCTAACAACCCTTCAATCTAATGGGCTCAACTCCCAATGATCTTGCCATATGCATTACGTAAAATGTTACTTTCTAACTTTGATATGCTGTACTACAAATGTTTAATTTGTGTGCTTTATCTTTAACCAGAAACCAACATCTCAAACACTGAACTGATTTGGTAAATACTTTTAATCACAAAATTTTAACACACATGATTTTAAAATACTCATATGTAAATTATCAATGCCACTGATTCACAAACTCCTTGGAGCCAATAAAAACATTGTAGCAAGGCAAACGTGAATGCTTATGTGTATTGGACACAATTTATAGTGTCATACACATTCTAAAAGACATTGTTAGCATTTCTCATGGCTTTCTTGTGTCGCCTCTATCTGTCTGTTCAATTATTTTGGCTATGTGTTATATGCCAGTTAATCCCAGGAACTCCAAGCCGTGCCTTAGTACATTCAAAACACCGGGTACGTACTGCGAATGTATCTGTAATTAGATTTTCTTTCTGCTTTCTGGATGCAAGTTTTTCAGTTTCTGTATTGGGAAAATGTTAAAACCAGTATGGGAGGCCTAGGTTATGGAGTCTCACTGATTCATTGGGCAGAGATACAAGTCTCAGAGTCTTCAGGTACTAATGTTTTCTTGGGGATTAACAGTTTCTCGGAGCTCATGAAGAAAGGAGAGCAGCTAAATCCTCTTCCCAGGGCAGAGTTTCAAAGCACACTTGTGCCTTTGACTTTGAACTTACTACCCAGGCTATCCCAGCACCCTTAAGCTGCTTAACAAGGACTGTTGATTTTCCCTCTGCAGCTTCAGTGCCCTTACTTAGGTGGTTAGGCCATGCCTAATTTTTTTTTTTTTTCTTCGTCTTCCCCTAACCTCCGGGCCAGGATGTTCATGTGGCAGGGAACAGATACTGAGACGACGTACCCTGTTCGCCCGGGTGTTCAGCAGGGTCCCGAAGGGGCAGTCGGCACGGTCACGGACAGGCAGAGCAGTAGACACCCGTGCGAGGACCCGCGCGTGTCAGTCGAACTGTCGCGGGACCGGGGCCCGGGGTCTGTGCTTACCACACGCACGCGCACTGCGCCCAGGATGAGGGTCGCGGCCCTGATCAGGTAATGAGGAGTGGGGCCACCTCCCTAGTCCTGAGCAAGACCAAGCCCTGACTTGGCCGTAGTAAATGCCTCGGGAACGGCTTCTTGGCGGCGCCGCGTGGGCGGGTCAGCGCCACCGGAAGAGGCGGGGCGACATGCTGCTCGGGTTCCGCTGGCCCGGGCGGGCGCGCCCCGTCCTTGGCAAAGCTGAACCTGCCGTAGTGCCTGGGTCCTCCGCCGTGGGCGCATGCTCGCCACTCACTCTTCTTGGACTTTTAAATGCTCTGCACTTGGAGCGCAGCTGTGAATTTCACTTCCTTGTTTCCATTTTTTTTGTCCTCTTAGTTTTGTTCAGTCTTAGAGATCTCTTTCTCAGTCTGAGGCTGTCGCTGACCTGACCCCTCCCAGCAATGCTACCTCACTCTCACCTCACATCCAGTATTCCTTGCTTGGCGGGGGATAGCCTTAGGGTCCCTCATTTGTTCATGTGTTAAATACCTGCATTGGAACTCAAGCTACTGACATATGTTCCCTCCTGGGGGCGTTGTAACTGTGCTAGTGTTATGGTAAAGGTAATTGTTGTTGCCCTGGATCCAAAGAGTTTGCCTTGCTGACCTTGGGTAACCGAAATCCTATCCCGAGTGTAGTTTGAAGTCTTAGTAACTTACTTAAGAGTCCAGATTCCATAGCTGATAAGCAGGCCCAGCCAGGATCTGTTTGTTTCTGTACCTGAAAACAATAAGAGACATGCTAACAATATTAGAGACATAGTTTAAAGCTCTTAAATATATTGTTTTTTGAGGTTTAGACCCCAGAAAATTCTGAGTTCCATTATATTGCTACAGTTCCTTTTTGCTAGCACAATGAAGCACACATAAAAACTTTTTTTGTTCAATGCTTGAGGTAACTAATGCTGGCTGACAATTTTTTTTTTTTTTTTTTTTTAGAGTTTTGATAAGCCACATTTTAGTCTCTCTGTAGTGACAGGAAAACACCAGTTCTGTTAATTCCATGCCATTATACCATTATACGGAAATATAATGGAGTACTCAAGAGAGAAAAAAAAAAAAAAAGCTACCAAGGTCAGAGAGAGAACGTTAAAAGATACTAATGACTTTCTTCTTCAAAGTAGCGAGTGCAGATGGGGACACAGTGTGCCCAGCTACTCATGGGACATGGCTTTCAGGGCCCCCACGGGATATCCAAATCTGCAGTTACCAAGTCCTCTGTATGAAATTATATGTGGAACCTATATCCACCCTCCTGGATGCTTTACAGAATCTTTAGCTGCCATACCTTAGAGTAAAACGCTATCTCATAGCTGTTACATCGCACCGTTTAGTGGATTAACAAGAAAATCATCTACATGTTTAGTACAGGTGTCTTCCCCTAAATTAATTTTGTTTGCTGAATCCATTGATGGGAAATCCACAGCTATGGAGGGTTGACACAGGGCTGACTAAGCAGCTTTGTGGAGTCATGAGAGGGGAGTCATTAGCTCTTTTAGATTCCTTGACCTTGAAAGGTGTTGTGTTTTTTGTTTGTTTGTTTGTTTGTTTGTTTCTTTGAGTACTCCATGTTCTATAGAACACAGCTTGGAAAATACTTTAAAACCATATTTAAAGAGTTGACATTTTACACCTCAAAGTTAAGTGATTGTGGATGTTCACCCTTGAATCTTTAATACATTATAAAACTGTTTTTTGTTTTGGGAAACGTAGTCACAGGATCCAATAGAGAAAGTTATGAAGACCTACTTAAGGATATATCTGAAAAGAGGGATCCTGGGCTTCATAATACATTCCTTTACCCTTTGCATTTTTTTTTTTCTCTTGAGGAATTCTTCAGAGAAATTGTCTAGGCAGTGATGGTTAAAATATTGAATATTCTAATTCTTGACTATTGATGTGTGTCAGCATTTGGATTTTCATTGTATCGAATTTAGAATCAAGTTTATCAAGTCTCTTATACTATTTGGATTCAGATTTTTAATATCCTTTGATGGGTATTGGTAGCTAGTAATTAGGTTTTGTGTAGTTGGAACAAATTAAAAAATACATTTATGAGTTTTTGCATGCATGTATATCTGCACACCACTTGCTTGCCTGGTGCTTGTGGAGAGCCAGAAGAGGGCATTGAAACCCCTGGAACTGGAGATACAAATGGTTGTCAGCATCCATGTGAGTGCGTGGGATTGAAGCCAGGTCCTCTTAGAAGAACAGCCAGTGCTCTTAACCACTGAGCTATCTCTGTAGCTGCTAGATTTTTATGCAATTAAAAACTTTCATCTAAGTAATATATGAAATAAGTGTTTAGTTACGGTATCATTTTGGATAATTGATGTGCACAGCATTTTTGTTATCTTTCATAAAACCGCTGTCGTAGATAGACTTTGTTTAGAATGTGTGCATTGTAAATGCATGTAATTTTATAAATCCCTAGAAGCAGCAACCTTAGGCATTCAGATTCATGTGCTCAGTTTTCTTCCTCTTACTGCACTGCAGTTGTGAAAACAGTCCCTCACGGAGTCTGAAAAGCCGAGTAATCATGCGGTTGATTTTGACGCGCAGTGATGCTGTGTTTAATGGTGATCAGGAGCCTGGCATTCATGGCCTACTCCCTACCCACTTGTCTTACAGTGGTGGGAAGGACAGCTGTTACAACATGATGCAGTGCACTGCTGCAGGGCATCACATCGTTGCATTAGCAAATTTAAGACCAGATGAAAAGCAAGGTAAGTGTGTGACTTCTTTTGACTGTTCTCTAAGTGGTTGCAACTCAACTTCTTCTTTTTTTTTTTTTTTTAAGATTTATTTATTTATTATTTATACAGCTTTCTGCCTGCACACCAGAAGAAGGCACTAGATCTCAGTATAGATGGTTCTGAGCCACCATGTGGTTGCTGGGAGTTGAACTCAGGACCTTTGGAAGAACAGCCAATGTTCTTAACCTCTGAGCCATCTCTCCAGCGCAACTCAACTTCTTATTGCAAGTTGGTGAGATACAGTCTCATGTCCTATTGGTTCTTATGATATATGAAGACCACTATTAAAAAGATGCCCTTAGCTGTTTTAGGTATAGTGAAGCATGTGCTTCCTTTTGCACCTCCAGAAGATGAGGAGCCTCTGGAGAGGAGATGTAGTATCTTTGACTTTCTTATGGGTGCCCCTCAGCTCTTGAAAGCTCTGTGCCTATAGTAGGTATTCCGTCACAGTTTATTGGCAGGCCAGTAAGAAATGAACTCGTTTGAATTACACGGTTTATTTCTGTTAGATATTTGAATACTTCTGAAAGTGATGTGGAAAGATGGAAATTGGGAGTATTTTACATGAAGAAAGAAAACGAGCTCACAAAGATGTGGGGGTAAATTTATACTTTGATAATCTTATGCTGGACTCTGGTGATGAGTAAGCTAGGTTTTTAGAAGTTTTCTGAGAAGGACTCTAGTTCTAACTTAAAATATGGGAAAAGTCTTTGAAGGTGATAGGGCTGCTGCAGCTTTTATTATAAAGAAGCAGCAAAATCCCTTAGAGATTGTGCTATAATGGAGAGACCCCACCTGTAACTTGCATCGAGTTGGGCGAGTGAGTCTTTTCATATGTCTTAAGAAGTATCAATACCAAAAAGAGTGTATGTGTATGCTCAGAGGATGTGCAGTGCTTATATAAAGTAATTTCCCTCCCTTGAATTTCTTGTGTCCAGTTTTCAACATGAGTTATCAGCTCATCATGTACAAGGTCATTATTGTATAATTCCCGTATGTTCATTTTGCTGTCAGAAGAGTAAAATGAAGTTATACTTATTAATAGAATGGGGGCATTTATTAGAATATTTTTAGTATGAAAAATTCAATAGTAAATGCAATGAGAATATTATGCATTAAAAACCTTGGACTATCAGCTGACACTGGGTAATTGGTGTAACAGAGAATAGATTGTTGTGGGTCAGTAGATGGACAGGGTTTGGTAATATTGATTTAAAGTCAGCAGGATGTTGGAATTGTTGAATGAGTTACTGAATGATTTTTTTTTTCCCTTTAAATGCACTGAAAGGAACCTTACTTGAGGAATGCATGGCTCCACTGAAGAGCAGATCTGGGTATAATGAATTCACAGCATAATCCCGTTTTTCACAATATGGTTTTTCAGTAGTTACTTTGGGAAAGAATTTATTCCCATCAATGAGGACAATGTGCAGTCGTCCTAAAATGTGCAGAACCATCCCTTTAAGTCTGTAGCAGGAGCTTTTGTGGTATGTTAATTGAAGTGCTTTAGGCAACCGGGGAGCCTTTGGTTTTGTTTGCTCTAACACCAGTTACTGCTGTGTCTCTTCCACTAATGAAGTTATATTGTGGTAAGGACTACATGGACCCCCAACGAAAATATATTGGGCCTTGAAGCCATTACAGTGTTTAGTAGTTGTACTAATTTCAGGGTGTTTCTTGCTATGAAGCTAAAGTTTATTTGAATAAAGACTTACTCTACTTTAGTAAAAAGGAAGAGTGAAGTTTTAGGGTGATTTGATAAATATCTGTTTCATACTAGGGTGAGGAGTGGACTTATGTAATGGTATGAGTATTCTTTTGTAGGAAGCCAGGCAGCTGTAGGGGTCCGAAATCTGATGAGCCAAAATGAGATAGCATATGATGATGGAACTGACTGCTGACAGACATTTACACTGTTATTCATTCACTTTAATAGAATGTTTCCACATTTGAAAACATACATGTACATATGTGTCTGTCAAAATTAGTTTTTAGTTTTTATCATTTTGTAACTTAACATATTATAGACAGTTCAATGACACTAAATATTAGTCTCAGTATCATTTCTATTATATCTTCCTCATATAAAATGTAAGTGGTATGTGGATCATTTTGAGAGTTAATTCATACACTGTCCTCCTGTTGGAGGAACTGAATACATATTAGTGTATGAAAAAAATTTCAACAACAAAGTCATATCCTTAGAATTATTTACCTACATATTTTTAAAATGTATTTGATATGTAGTCTTTTCCACCCTTCTTTAAAATATTAATACCTTACAGGATTCATATTCTGGAGAACATACACTGGAAAATGCATGCCATTTTATTATGACTATAATATAGTTCTTAATCTATTTGAAATAATGCTATAATGAATGCTTTAGCCATAGTGATACGTGTGGAATCTGTGAGACAACTGGTGATTGTATCATTGAATAGGTTCAGTTATTGTGTTTCCAAACATATCTGCAGCTGTTCTAACAAATATTGAATTTACATGTATATGCTTTGTTGATACATTATTATAAAACATACCAGGTATATCTAATTTATTCTGTCAGATATGTATCACTTACTAAGTAAATATTTAAGAAAAGTTTTTATTAAAAACTTTTTATTAAAAACTAGATGACTTTGAATAACCTGATTTGAATAAACTTCTTATATAATATAGTTTCTAACAATACACCATGAATTTATTAGATGTATTACTCTTATCTTTAATTATATATAATTTTAAAAATGTGAATGCAATTCTGTTGTTAATTAGAAGCATAGATGATTAGTGGTGAACTGAGTTTAGCTATGGACAGTGGGCAATGCTGATAGATTACTGCACCTGTAAATTGCAGGGAGAGATGGGATGTTTCTAAACCTAAGTGTTGGCTATTCTTCAAGTAATAAAAGCTCTTTTTTTCCTTTCCTTTTCTTTCTTTCTTTATTATTTTTTTCCCGAGTTTCTCTATGTAACCTTGGTTGTCCTGGACTCATTTTTGTAGACCAGCCTTTCCTCAAACTCACCACCTGATCCACCTGCCTCTACCTCTGAGTATGGGATTACAGGTATGCACCGCTACACACAGCTGTAAACTCTCCTCGTTAAAGTCTGTTTGTTTTACTCTGCCTTACCAATTGTTTCTACTTTAACTGTTTCAGCGGAATCAGATGAACTAGATAGCTACATGTATCAGACAGTGGGTCACCATGCCATTGACTTGTATGCGGAAGCAATGGCCCTGCCCCTGTACCGCAGAACCATCAAAGGAAGGAGCTTGGACACAGGAAGGACATATACCAAATGTGAAGGTGATGAGGTTGAAGATCTCTATGAACTATTGAAACTCATTAAGGTATGGTCAGTGACTATCCTTTTTGAACTTCGTGACTTTCATTTATTGATTTATTACATATTTAATAATTTATAACTTCATAGCCCAGGTATTCTTTGCAAGAATATTGCATTTTTTTGGATGGAAGGTAACAAAAAACTTGTTAGTATGTCTTTGTATTAGACTATACAAATAAGACTTTGGGTATAGATTTGCATCTAGGCTTGTCAAATACGTTTTTCTTTATTTTTTATTTTATGTGTATATTTTGTCTGCATGTATGTATGTGTACCATGTGCATACCTGGTACCTACAGAAGCTGGAAAGGGGAATTAGATTCTCTGAAACTAGAGATAAAAGTTCTTGTAGACCAGCATGTGGGTGCTAGGTACCAGTGTACATAACTGCTTAGCCATTTCTTCAGCCCCCTTGTCAAATAATATTTATTTTTATTCAGGATATTGGAAAAATAGCATTCAATCTCTTTTCTTTAACAAATGTATTTTGAATCCCTCTTAAACAAATTGATGAATACTGCTTATTAGATTACACTTTTTAGTGCAAGAGTAAGACAAGGAACAGATAAGAGACATGATGTTGAAGAGTACTGTGAGAAGGAGTGAAGTGAGCCAAAGTGATAACAGCTGATAGCAGGAGGCAGCTAGGAATGTACTGCATGAGATGGTCAGTGACCATCAGTGAGACCTCTCAGGTGTGATTAATGTTGCCAGACTGGACACCAGAAGGAAGGAAGTCAGAGTCCTGAATAAATTTGTCAGAATTATGAATTAAGTATGGCACTGTATCTATTATTTTGTGGTCTATCATTGATTCATGAACAGTTTCAGCACACAAAATTTTTGGGAGAAATGTGAGCTCATCAGTCTAGTAAATACTACCCTCAGTAAATGCTGACAGAGATTATGCTGAACCATCGTTGTTGGATTCTCATTAATAATCGACTACTTGAAGACAATATTCTCTCCTAAATACAAGTGTTATTCAGCAGCTATACATAGTTCATGTAAGACATACTGATGGGGAATTTAAATCAGTGTGTACTAAATATTTTAGTATATTTATAGGGGCAAGAAAGAAAAAGTTCTCTTCTTTCCTGTACCATTGCATTTCTTTACTCTTTAGAAGATGTAAGCCCTCTCCCAAATTATGAAGTGAACATTTACAAATCTCAAATAGTTGATATTAATCACAGTTTTATATTGATTAAGAATTTTGATTAAGAAAAATACCAGATACCCAGGTACGTTTAAAGTCGTTTAAATTAAAATGGTTCCTATTTTGTATGTCAGAACGTTTTTAATCTGAAAAAGAAGCACAGGGAACTACTGTTTTATAACTTGCTATTGAGCTAGAGAGCATATGAAGTGGATCCTTTGCAGAGGCTGTCATTGGAATTCACGTGCTCATCATAACTACCGTGACTTCCAAACAAGGGGAAAGAGAAAGACTTCTGCGCCCAGAGGTTGTCTCCTCAGAATGGTGCAGCAAACATTGTTCACTTGGGGATGTAAAAGTTACATACATATCTTGTATTTTCACATTTTTCAGAATACATTGAAGCTGAATATTAATCTTTCAGTATAAATCAATATCACAAAATGGTGGAATTGGCACTAGAAATGATTGGGTTGCTTAAAAATCACAAATGTGGTAACTTTAAAAAAAAAAAAACAACCCTGTGATAATAAAAGCCATCCAGGCAAGGGGATGACAATAAATTACTAATCAGTTTAATTAAAAGTGAGCAGATTAGTAGTAATTAAGAAGAAATCCCTTTTCTCTCCATGCTGTCTTTGGAGAAATGGATGCTTTGCCATTATCTTCAAGTAACCGTCAATTATGACATAAATTAATGCTAATGTTAAATCTTGACAACTTCTGCTTCGGAATTTCATACATGATAATTATAACTATAGTTGAAAAAGATGTTATCAAGTTGTCTGGGACTAAATAGTTCCTTCTTTTCCTGTGTAAAAATATTAATTTTACTATAGGATATTTTAAAGGCCTCAATATCAGAAATACATTACTTTTATGAAAGAAATTGTATAGCTCGACTTTTAGAGTTAAATCCATTTGTGAAATCCTAGTGCAAGGATTCCAATAGAGGTCTCATATATTTTAATGAATAACTGAGTAATTATGGAAAAAAAACTAACTTAGGCTATTATTTTCTATGTTTGTCTCAACTTGTTCTAAGCAAAAAAGCCGTATTTCAATCTTTTGAATGCTATGCAGTGGTGGAAGCTCCTGGACGTAATTTTGTTTTCAGTGTTTATTCATAACAGGCTACACTTTTGTAAGTTTTACATCTGTCTTTTGTTTTTATAGAGCCATGTTTTGACTAGTGTGTGCTCCATTTGCAAATAATTCAATTTGTTTAAGTAGCAAAGTCGTAGAATTATAAACTTCAGGAAGTTTAGAGTTACACGTTCCTGCTTTGTTGAAGTGAGAAAAACTAACAGAAAATGTTAGCAATCCATCATATCTCTTCAATGTGAGGTTGCTGTGAGTCTGAAATATATATTTGAAGATATTTGTAAAATACTTGGTTTTATGTCTTGCCTTTTGTATTCTAGTATTGATTCTTTTCTAATTTAATATGATGTAACTGCTCTTTTCTGAAATCAATAGTTTATTAATTTTGTGTAAGTTTTTGTTTAAAGCATTAACAATATAAGAGCTACTAAAAGATACAAATTGGCATCTTTTTCTATTGAGTCAAAGGATCAATATATTTTCTCTTTCTATACTGATTTGGTGCTGTCTTTCTAGATCTGAGCGTTCTTCCCAGTATCCCCATCTCAGTGGACTCTTTATTTAAGAAATTTCTTAATGGCAGTCCTTTCAAATTCTTATGCTTTGTAAATGTTTGTATTTTGCCCCACATGTTTTACTGGACATTAACAAAGTCTTTGCCTGTAACTCTTCTGTAATAATCTAGTGATAGAACATCTCTTTGAAAGCTTGTCTCTGTTTGATGACAACCTTATAGTCTAAGTGAAAACCATTTACAATAGGGCATTTCTCTGGCTTTAGTGACTGGATTAGGAATGGGTTAGTCTTAACAGAAAAGAGCCAATAGTGATTGGCAGAAGGTAAGCTCTTCCATTTGCTGTGAGAAATGTGTGACTATGGGATATAGACATTCAATAGACCTTGCCTTTTACTTTTTTTTTTTTTTTTAAGGAAAATATTTAAGGCCAAATCTGACAGAAAAAAAAAAATAGTCAGTAGACTTACAGAGTAAGGATGGCTCTTTTATTACTTTTTTGATAATTTTCTCGTTTTGATTTTTTTCATGTTTCTCCCACCTTAGCCGCATAGTGCCTGGTCGTAAATAAACTACACCTTATAGACTGAGTCTTTACCTAACTTCTGCTTTACTGAATATATTTCATGTCTGCCAAAGAAAAAAGAAAAAGCACGAGAAACACGTATAGACAGAGAGACATACATATTAGCACACACAGGAATCCCTTAAAAACACAAAACTGGAAGGCATAATATAAACACAAAGGACCAGTAAAGACAAAAGAATAAAAGGAGACTCTGACAAAGAGCAACAAAAAATGTCATTTGCCATGGAGTTCGTTTTGTGATGGTCATCTACAGTTGAGAAGTGGGTCTGCTATTAAGAGTGGTTTTTATCCCCAGTAAGACTCTGTTGGAGAGGACTATTTTTTCATTTATGAGTGGTTATTGATTAGAGATAACCTCTGGGTTAGGGTCGAGGATGTACATGTGCCTAATTCTTCTCTCTCCTCTGGGATATCATCTGGCACAAGTTCCGTACATGTTGCCACAGTTCTGTGAGTTCATATATGTGTTGGTCTTGCTGTGTTTACAAGGCCTTGTTTGTGTCTTTGTTGTCCTCTATTCCCTCTGACTCTTATGCTTTTGATCCTTTCAACAAGGTTTCCTGAGCCCCAAGGGGAGGAATTTGACGGAGACATTCCGTTTAGGTTAACTGAATGTTCCAATGTCTGTCACTCTCTGCACAGCATTTAGCTGTAGGTACCTTATTAGGGCTCATCCATCTACTGCAGGAGGAAGCTCTTCTTTTTCAAGCAATTCTTAATGATTTATTTATTTTTATTCTATATATGCAGTTGTGTTTTGCCAGCATGCATGTTTGTCTGAGAGTATCAGCTCCTCTGGAATTGGCATAGAGAGCGATAAGCTGCCATGTGCATGTTTGGAGTTGAACATCAGTCCTCTGGAACAGCAGCTGGTATTCTCAACTGCTGAACCATCTCTTCGATTCAGAGGATGAAGCTTTTCTTATGATGGTTGAGCAAGAGACTGATCTATGAGTATATTATAATTTCATTAGTAGTCATTTTATGGCTACATTCTACATTCCTTCAGCAAAACAGTAGTCTTTGTTTTTTTTTCCCTAGGTCCCTGGCCTGTGTGGTCTTAGGTTCCTGGTGTCTTGAGCAGTATTGGAATGGCGTCACTCTCTTGGAGTGGGTCTTAAATCCAGTCAGAGATAGGTTGCTTGCTCCCACAAGCTTTGTGCCACCATTGCACTAGCATATCTTGTAGGTCATTGTAGACTGAAGAGTTTATTTTTAGGTTGTGGTTTACCTTTCTCCTTTAGTAGCTTACTGAGTACCTTCTCATACCATGAATACTAGTTCATAGAGGTAAAGGTTTTAGGTAGGCATCAACTTGACTTCTTCATGTTCAATGAGTTGTGTAAGGTGTTGTCTTTAATAGCAGGGTCTTTGTTGAGTTACTTTTCAGAGTAACTAAATAGTTTGACAATAGCTTAGGTTGTTTGGGGATTCCCATGAGCACCATTGACCAGCGATTCAACTAGATGCAACCCATTGCCAGCATTGTAAGTTTCCTTTTTTAATAAGAAAAGTTCCACAATGGCTTTGTTTTTCCTGTTTAGTCACTTTTAAATAAAATATAATTTATTGAAAATACTGTAAAGGTAAGTTTAGCAAAAAGAAAAAAAATAGGACCTAATTAGCTAATCAAATACA